TTCTGTGTTTTGCAGCTGTAACCTTGAGGGATCACCTTTAGGAACAAGGAGATGACTTGATCCATGTACTCTTTCCATTCTTAGCCTCTCTGCTGAAAGTACAATAAAGATGTCAATTGATGCCATTCAAGACCATAGTCTTTTTGATCTTCCTCATTAGATGTTGTGAGACCATCAATTTATTACCTTGCCTGTGTGGCAAACTTCTTCCAATGCAGGCAGGTTCTCTGTGGATATCTGTGTGTGAATATGACTTCTATACATTGAATACATCTTCCGTATGGTAGAAAACATGCAAAAGCATCATTAAAGTGCAATGACTTTTGTTCCCTATATTGACCTAGGCTGAATTTGAACCAGTGATGTAGAAATAATATGCTCTGTATCCCATTACTAATCTCTTCAGCCACAAGTCCAACCCTTCAGGGATTTTTTTTTTTCCACAAAGAGGATGCTAACATATTTAAAAGAAGTCACATTTTACTCTTGAAAAGAAAATCCGAGCATATGGAAAAACATGGGTATTTGGCTAACCTACCGCTCATTACCCAGGAGGGAGAGAATGTAAATGCAGGCTCGCATTAGATTGTTCAGTGCGTGTATTCAATCTTTAGAAATCTGTTTCAAAGAAAAGAAAGGCATAAACCTCATTAGAAGAGAAACAACAGGGTGGAAAAAAAAGCGAGCCATGTCAGTTCAAAAGCAAGCCCAGATGCTTAAGTTAGTTACACTTTTCAGTTTAAGGCAATGCAAATCCATTCTCCATTACTGAGGAAGTGGAAAAAGGCATTAAGCCCCTTGAAATGGCAGGAGTCAAGTTCTGTGCTCAGTCAAATAGGAAAAGGTTTAATGTATGATTTTCTTCTTTTTAGTCCATTGTACATTGTATCAAGGCACTGAAGAACAGCTATGCAATTACGTAAATAGGAGGAGAGAAGCTAGAGTAGCACAATTGTTTGTAAGCTCAAATTGTTTCTTATTCCTCCTACCCCTCCTTCCTCTTTACACAGAAACAAACATGCACAAAACATTAATAAAATAAATCAGACATTATGTGAAGCTTATCCACAAGAGCAGATTCTAGATACAATTTGAATCCCTGAATATTAATTTGATCTTCTGCCAAACGCTGTAGAGGTCTTAAGAATCTGAGTTCATATTGTGAAGGAAAGGTGAAAAAGGAGTCCTAATTTCGAATTGTTTTTATTATATAAACATTTGTGAGCACACTTATGCTCCTTGCTTTTTAGAGAATCATGTTAAACTTTAAAATGTATGTTTCAACCTAAAGTATAACCAGGGATATTCCCCTACTTATGTCACAATATGTTAGGCAGAGGCAGCAGACGATTTCTACTATTTTCTGTTAATCAGGCTTGGGAAATGAAGACACAGCCTCTTCAGTTTGCCCACGATGACAAAGCTTCAGTCATCCCCCTGTCATGGATCAGACTGCTTCTTTCAGCATGGTTGCCTCAGAGGTGAATTTTCCCCATTGTAACACTCTACTTGGCAGAAGGGCATTTTCATTTCATTTCAGTTTCCTGTGCAGGTAACCAGCAGAGGAATAGAATATGAAATGACACATTTTGTGTGAATATTGTAAATGCATGGCAACACCATGCCTAAGGTATCCCCCAAAGAAAGTCAAGGAGGAGTGTGTACTTTAGGTCATAACTTTCTCTAACCCACAAAGTAGCTTGAGATCTGTGAGAAGTATTGCAGTAGATGACCTAGGAGAACAGAAAGTTTGCTTTCACTGCCTCTTGACCATTGATTTGCACCACTTAACTCGATGCCTCTTATTCTAATGTAAATGCCTTGATATTATAAATATAATCTGCTTAAAGTAGGATCATGAACCAGGGGATGATCTCATGGAAGGTCTGCCACAACACCACACAAGCAAGAAGTTTCTTGAACCATAGGTTTTAAAACCCCTCCTGCCATTGTTTCTTCATAGATATTAGTTATATTTACCGTCTTCTTGGATACCTGGTATATATTCAACATGTATTTTTTTAGGGAGAGTTGAAATATCATGCAGCTTTTGTAGATTTTCCTCACAGTTTTTCATAGCTTGCATACATTTTTAGTTGTGTCTCTTGTTTAAAGTGATGTACTTTATGCTGACCTTTTTAACCATAGAAAGAACTTTTGCGATTCTTTGCAAGTCTTTTTAATTCTTGAATGCAATTGTGAAAGTAGCACTTTTCACTAAAATATGTCAAAGTTTTACCCAGCTGTTAGCCAGTAAGTAATAAAAAAGATTCCTGTAAGGTAGGCAGTGCATGTTATCTTTTATACATGCAGACATAGCACTGTTGTACCACCTGAAATTCCATCAGGCTCCAAGCTCTGCAGAAAGTGACAAATGCTAGACAGGTATACGATTTATAATGGATGAGCTATGCAAGCAAGCTCTGGGAGTTGGATTGGATTTGATTGCAAACAATAATATGACACAACCCCTGCTGTGGATAGTACACACACTGTGAGAGGCAGTGCAATCGGGCAGCATGAGCACCAGAGTGCAGGCATGATCCAGAGCCCTAAATCCACCTTCACTGCATACCTACTGCGTGGCTTTCAGAACACCTTTTCTGTTCTAACTGTCCTTCTTCCTGTTCTTGCTGAACATGTTGTTTAGCAACAGCATGTTCAACAATCATATCTCTCTAAGCCACTTCAGTGCAATTTATAGCCCAGCATGATGATAGGCTTCAGAGAGGCTTTTTAAAGGAATTACATGAAAACACAAGAAGTTAAATATTTGAATAATTTTGTGCAGTTACTGGCAATAAACTTGGAAACTTTTCCATGTAGTAACTATTCTCCATTAATCAGATTATCCTTCAGGGAATATCTTCTACCCCAGCAAGAATATTTTCATTTCCAGTATGAAAGTGAATGGTAGAGATATCAATCTTCCTGCATTCACCAACATTCAAGTATTGAGCAGTACTGAAAGCAAAGCTTTTCTAGTCCTAGATGAGAAGGTTTTGTCTCCTCCTGTCCAATTGTGCACATATATAAAATGGTCCCTCATTCCTCTCCATGAGCCACGTGGATTAGAAGTTATGCTTCTGTGGGATGTAATTTAATTCATTTCTATATTGGAGAATGTGGATGCAGTAAGGGTCAGTTTGAAGTCTTGGTTCTAGTTATCAGTGGTCCATCCAGTCTGCTAAGCTATCAGAGGTGAAGAAATGGACTGCACAATAGAAAGAGCTGGTCTTGAATTCTTATTATATTTCCATTCACTATCCTATTGGCTTTGGAGTATTTAGGTACAAATTCTCATTGGGAAATTTATGGGAGTGTTCCCTTACTTTTCCAGGGTGATTTCTTTTGCATGAGATATCATGCATGTTTATAATCTGATGGTCACTCTGCTTTGTGTTGAAGTAAAAAACTTCTATGAGTAACTTTCTTGATAAAAATATATTGGTGTTATCAGTCCTTTGTATTATTAGGATTCTTTGTTGAAGTCACATACACATGGCTATAATTCTTATTAAGGCACATTTCTAGTTTGATTCCTGCGTCTGTTGAAAGAAAATTTAGATCAGCTATGAGCTGGGAATGGAGAGCCAACAGCTCTTCCTATCAAGTCTTATAATTTTCCTTCTTAAAGCCTTTTCTGGCTTACTCTTTCTGCCTCATCTTTCTCCATTTTATGTTCTTTTTTCTTTTTCTTATCCCAGTTTATGGCTCATTGATTTCATAAGTCGTACCAAGACCTCAGGTTCAGCCTCAGGGCATAGACATCTAGAAAGCTGAAATAGGGATGCTGGCATGAAAAGAAAGTGGAGATGGCTTTATCTGCCAATCCACAAATAAGTTGGTCAACAGAGTTTCTGGCCATGAAATCTGAGTGCCATTTTAAAAATAATAAATTTAATTCATTCTCAGTTTACTTTTGCTTCTGTGGATAGAAATTAGAATACAGGGTGGTGCTGGCAAAGCAGTATACAGAGTGAAAAATATCATTATGACCTTGCAAGTTGTTTCTCTTGGATCTTATAGCTAACTAATTCAACCCTTAAGGTGTTGATTAACATGGGTATGGATGGAGACCAAGGTGACTTATTCAGGGTATAATCCCAGAAAACATCACTCTTCTGTGATGCTCTTGCTGCTGTTTAAAGCTGTTCTTTCTTAGTGACATCCCTATGAAAACCTCCTGTCTTCCTGAATTTAATGAATGTCCTAGTCAGTTTGAAAATGTTTCTGGGAAATAAAGTTTGGTCCTTTGTGCCAGCAGGTTTATGTGAGCCATGCACTTCCAAATATCACATTTGAAGCATATGCTAGCAAAACACAACAGACCTTCACTATCAGGAGTAAGTGAGCAGTGCAAGTTACAAAGAAGGAATTTATAGCTTTTAGATGTGAATTATAAGGAGCAGTTCTTATTTCAGAGACACACACATTTTATTAGGTATTCTTTGCTCCCTAGGCATTGCACAAGAAATTTCACAGCTGAATGTTTTATTTCCTGATACCTACTGCATAATGACATGACAAAGTTCTTTTCAGAGTATCCTTTACTTTATGACTATGGCTTTCTCCTCCTTTATATAACAGCACTGGTTCATGTTATGAGTTCTTGCTATACTTACAAGTACAGTGATAATCTGTTCCTCTCTTCTCTAGGCAGATAATATTCCCATTGGCTTCACTGGCAAACTTGTCTGAGGAAAGAATCCTGGTCAGCTCTGAGCCCCATCCTGTGGGCAGACCTCTAGCCCTTTCAAAAGTTTTCTTTCATTGCCCCCAGGGAAGTCTGGCTCTTTACCACAGAATAATACAGGCAGAATCACAGGCTATTATTGATGAGAACAATTTCCTCCCACATCCTGAAATCTAGGGCTAGCTGTCCTCAGCAAGAAGTATGCCCCTCAAAGTAACAGAACCAGAATTTTATCCAGAAAACTTTTAACACAGTAGATATTACTGAAACTTGTATAACTCCCTTCTCTCTCTTCAATTCACAGCTACCTCATCCCTGAACTCCCAGCTTCAACAGCTTCAGCATCTTCAGCAGCTCCAGCATCAACAGCAGCAGCAGCAGCAGCAGCAAAGCCAGCAGCAGCAGCAAGCTCAGCAGGCACAGACTCCACAGCCAGCCCAGCAGAGCCAGCAATCACAGCCACAGCCATCAGCACCACCACCACAGAGCCAAACACAGTCCCAGAGCCAGAGCCAACCACCTCCAGCCTCACAGTCCTCCAGCTCCCCTCAGAAACCCAGCCAGTCACCAGGGCACGGCCTTCCATCTCCTCTTACTTCACCAAATCCATTACAGGTAGGATGCTACATACAAATCTCTAAGGGTCTAAAACCAGCATGTGCGTTCTCCTCACTGCAAGGGGAAACCAAGTGAAGGCTATGCCTTCTGATCACACAGGCTGAGAAATTCCACATTGTATTTCTCAATCCTTATGGGAATTCAGCTTAGAACAGCAAAAAGGATGATAAACCAGAAAAGCATACCTAATGATGGTTCTAGGATGCTGCTTCCTGAAGAGTAAATGTCTTTTGCTTTCCAAGTCCATATTGTAAAGCCCATAGAGAACTCTTGAATTTTTTCCACAGAATCATCATGTAAAATTTACAAAAGGCATTTGCCCAGCAGTCACCCTTTGTGATAAGAGAATAACAATATTAGCTGTTTGTTAAGAGATGATCCTGACTGTCAGCTTCTGCTGATGGACATGTGCAAGGGGTGGATGTGTTACCTCTCCTCTTGAAAACACGGTCCTAATTTTTACCCTGCTGATAATCAAATACTTCTGCTAAGGTTCTTAGTATAGATTCTAAAGCTAAGGATGCCAGTTAATGCCATTCATAGATGCTCACTCCAATGACATGGTTGTTTTTTAATAGACCAACAGCTACTGCATCCATACTGATGCTCAGCTCTGCCCATCTTGGAAGTCCTGGGCAGAAACAGGAGAGCTCTGGTCCAGTGGTTCTATGTTCTTAGAGCTGGGTGTTCTTGCACTACGTGTTGTGCTACATTCACATTGTGCAAGAATAGCTTTGACTGTACCCATAAGTAGTGTGATTGTGAACACCAGGGTAGTCCGTGAAGTGAGTGGGTTCTCATTCACTAGGCAGTGAAACTGCACTTAGAAACCAGAAAAGTCTCTATCAACTTTAGTCTTTAAATTTTGAGACACCACTTAAAATGCTTTATCCACACTGATGGATTTGGATCCATTTCCTGCAGAAATAAAACTGCATTAGCTTAATAATTAAACAATCCTTTTTAGACAATTAAGGGAATTGGTTTACAAAAAGCTTTTCTTGCATGTGTCCAGTTAAACCTGCATTAATCTGAGCTTCAACTAAATTGCATCAAATCTGATTTTTTTAAAATGGTTTAGGTAATAGACTTAAAAGTCTGCAAGAAATGTGTCCTTGCTTGCTGAACTTTTTCTTAGAGTAGAGAATAATGTTTCTAGAGCTTCTTCTCTGCATTGTCTTAAGGACTACATATACATCACTTAATGCCCAATCTATTGTGTTAGTGAGTGCTTTGGGGCTTTTTTGTATGCAGATTATTGATATACAGAGACACAGATATTTTCAGGGGAGCTTCTGTTACATTTTATTATCTTGGTACAGCTGTAATGTATGCACACAGTGCATACACAATATTTTGCTAAAACTGCCTGTTAAATATTGTGTTTCAAAAGTCATTAAGTTCTACAAACGAAGCAAATGAACACATAAATTAGAGTTGGAGTAGGAGAGAAGTGGGATTATCTCAGACAACATACCTCAAGAGGGTTGTACTAACACTGAATCTGAGGTCTTAACTCTTGTATAGCCTTTGGTCCCAATGTAAATCTCAGATGAATGTGAGCATTTCCAGTCTCATCTGTGATCCACAGATGCTTTATACTGTTAGCTTCTCTGGGTCGCCTCTCATCTTCAGAAGTGCAATAAAAGTGAAAACTTTCCTGGTAGATAACAATACTTCTACACAGACACCGTGGCATATCTCACTCTTTAGCATCCTTACTCTCACAACTACCCATCTGAGGGCAGTCTGGATGTGGCAGACTCAACAGAAGTGAAAGAAGGGAACCAAGTACTCTGAGGTGCTTTTAGTTCAAACACTGTCCCTTGAAGGTTTTAGGAACTGAGATTACACTTAATGAAATACACCAGTGTGAGAGGTCTGGCATTTCCCCTGGGCTGAGCTCAGCCAGTGCTGCCAAGCCATTTGCTTCACTGGGATACTTTCAGAACAGTGAAGGAGATAGAAGTCATTAGATGTTAGTTCTGGCTCAGCATTAAAAACTTGCTAATAAATTGTGGGATAAGTAGTTTAAATAGTCTTTCCTCTCTGATCTCACCATTTAAATAGCTATGAAATCCCAAAGTTTGTTCACAAATATGCTGTGTACTGACAATGAGAAGAGAAGCCAGAACTGAGCACACTACTTCAGCCCTCACCTTAAGCAATGTGTGTAGGGTCATTCCTTTGGCCTTCTAGCCATCTCTACAGCATTTCTACAGCAAGTTTAACACTGCTCAAGCTTCCCTAGAAGTAATTAAAACTTGAAGCATGCTCTGTAATATTTCCAGCAATTCTGAGACACTTTTATATGCAACCAAGTGACACTCAGAAATATTTCCAGAGGAACTGATGTTGTACTTTTTATATGGTTGTTTGGGTACTTTTCTAAATTAGAGCAGTGGTAAGATCTCCTCCATGAAATTTGTCTTTCCATTCCAAATCCTGCAGTGAAAGGCTGCTTTACCCTTGTACATCCATCTTGAGGATGAATTGGATCTGAAATTATTTTCTTTTGCACAGGAAGTTAAAAAAAAAAAACAACAAAAGGAGGGAGCATATGTTTGGCAGCAGTTCTTTATAATAGCTGCTTAGAATGTGGATTTTTTTAATGTGTTCAATGCTCCAACTTAAAAATCAACCTAAGACAAAAGTCAGATGTATTATGTCCTCTAGGGTAATGTTCTTTATGAACTAGAGTGAAATGGATTTTGTTTGAAGAATATTAAGGGAATAAAGAACAACTAAGTTAAAGTTTGACAGCTAAAATTTCATTTCTGAATTCTTGACTTTCTTCATGTGGGCTTTATCCTCTTACATTATTCAGAATCTGTCTGAAAGATATTAGTTTAAAAAAATGCAACCTCAAAAAATTGTCACGGAAAGTCAGTAATTCAGGAGGATGATTGCGTTTGTTTCAAAAAACTGAAGGATAACAGCAATTACATCTCAAAACATACAGATGCTGTCATGTCCTTCAGAAGGCAAATTAAATGAAAGTGACTTGCTTAGGTATACCTGGGTGAGGTACTTTGCTAGCTGATCAGAAATTAATAATGCTGGTGCAGTGTACACCAGCTAAAAGCCTCAGAATTATTCTTCTCAGATTATTTTGTAATACTCTGCTCTAATTTTATCACTATTCTTTATATGATTCAGTGGGCTGAACTGTAGTTTCAAAACTACTTTTTATGGGGTCTTTTAATGATTATGTAGAAAGACATAAAACCTCCCTTTAGGTTCCAGGACATGAGTTTTTTGCTGACATTAATGAAGAGGGTCCAGATTAACACTGGTAAAAGCCAAACACTGCAGAGCAAGGGTCTTTGTTGATTTGCAAGAGACAGCAACCAGAGAAGAATTTTTAAAAGCTGAGCTCTCTTTCAAGAAGTGGTAGGTCGGGCAGATGACAGAAGACTTTCATCCCTCCCTTCTAAAATGGTGAAAATCCTCATTAAAATAATCATAGTCTGTTGTTTATTTTCATTGTGTCAATTGATTGATGAGCATAGTACTAAGTAGCTAATTATTCTGCTTGACTACCAGAATAAGGCACTTTCTACCAGCAAAATACATTTAGCTGGCTCCAAAAAAAGGTTAGCTTCTGGTGCTGACATTCACTGTATATTTTAGAGATATGGACAAGATGAATGTACACATAGCCAGACCTGCAAAGGGAGAACTACACTATAGGAATAGACGAATTCTCAATGATTTCTACTGTTCTGTTTGTGTGTGAATAGGAACAGACAAACAGGAAATCCCCCAGAGATTTTCTTACTGTAAAATTATTCCAACCATTTTCAGAACTCTTTCCTGAAGAATCTCTTTTGTCACAGAAGTCTGCCTACAATAACTGCAGCTGATGGAAAATGATGAGTGAGAAAAAAATAACAATAAAAATAGGGAAGAAGGGAAGTGAGGAGATGACAACAGCACAAAAGTCTTCTAAGTAATAGCAAACTTTAGGATGCCAAAACCAGAACCTCCTTCAGATTAAATTTTCATACTAATCTTAAATAATGTATTTGGAAACTCAATACTTTTATAACAAAGGAACAAAGAAAAGCAGAAAGGCTGAAATACTCAGCTGCAAATGAGGGAGAATATGTACGCTGATGTCTGAGGCTCCAATAGTCACACAAAACAAACTGCCCCTTCCCTTTCCACCCAGTCTCCTTCACTGGTTAGCTTCTCATTAAGGAAAAATCAGTTTTGAAGAAATTTCAATGTTTTCTGAGACTTTGACATATTTACATATCTTTAAGATAGAGAAGTCATAACCAAGTCTCTGTCAGCTTGAGAAACACCAATTTTTCAAGGATTATGCTCGTGATCTGTTTATGATTGTGTTTGCATCCAAGACTTGTTGTATTTTTCTCATGCTTATTGAATCTTGAGATTAAGAAAATTTGATTGAGATTATGACCCCATTAATCCCACTGAGTTTGGTGGGTTGCTCTGTTTTGCTAAAATTATCTAACCTCTTCTGTATAAGATGCTCTGCAATGTATGACTGATTGAATCTGTTCCCAAGTTGCTTAGTAATCAATTCGGCAAATAAATATTTTATAAATGGTGAGTAAATGCAGCGCTTTGTTCAAAATCTCCTGTTTTGGTATCAGTTGGGAGTGAGATAACCCATATCACAAGGTGATAGGTGATATAGACAAGTACAGAAGACATTTATTTGAGTAGGTTCATGCCCATTTCCTGGCGTGAGTGAGCCAGTTGAATGCTGATCTTGGATGGATGTCCAGGAGATACTGGCAAGACCTGAGTCTCAGCTCTAAACTAATGGCATGGAAAGTCCCCTGCAGTCAGCTAAATTGAGTTAAGCTTGGTGATCTGTTGAGAATATTTTGCTTATTTCATCCTCCTGCTCATTTCAAGCAGAAAGATTTGAACACCTTGTTCTACTGACAGTTTTGGATTTCTGTGTATTCCTATAGTATTTTAAAGATCTTTGTAGGTTGATAAATGTGATTTCATGGGCA